GTGGAATATTTTCGTATGGTCCTAAAATGACGAAAATATTTCAATCGAAAATTTTTGAGCAACCAAAATTTGTGACCTAATTCATCAAAGAAAGACTAAGGTACGGCCTGATATTATTATTATTATTATAAGTAGGTATCTTCTTGCAGCTCTAACCTTGCTCTATCCACTGGTGCTTGCTGTACTTCAATCAGTTGCTTCACTACTGAATTATAAAATAAAACGGTCCACCATGTGACAAAAGTAGCCATTTAATGTTTCCGTTTATTATCCGTAAATTGGTCATTGCTGCATCTCCAGTACTATCCGTATACTAGTAATGTCGGGGGGAACAGCCAGGTCAAGAACCTCTTATCTCAAGAATTATAAACACTACTATAGCGGCCTTGTTACCAGTAGGTAAAGGACAAGGTATATGCAAGAGAAGCTAAATTTTCAGACTGTAAAAATTTTCGTACACTATGAGAAGACGAAAATATTTCCACTTGAATTTTTCTGAAACGAAAAATTTTTGTACGAAAAAAAGGCAAATTACGGTATTTCATCAATTCTGATGTACACAGTTATCATTAATAAAAGATTATATTGAGGATAATTATTATATCATGTATATGTACATGTACATGTATCTGATAATTTAAGAGTATCAATTTTAATTAAGTAGGAATAAATAATACCATATATCTGAAAATATTTGCTGGAATTTAATTTTGCAATTAAATTCCGCAAAGCATTATAATGGGTGTATCATCAGTTCAAAGTCAGTTATATTAGTACAAAATTGTAAAATAATATAATTCCAGTAAACTCTTCCAACTATTATACACTAATAATAACAATTCCTAGAAAATTGGTCACTCCCACACTAACAATACACAGTAATACTAGCAGTATAGTATTTATATGGAGGGAATGAGATATTGATTAGTATTACATATTAGGAATATTAATTAATAATTAATTGTATTAGCCATCGCGTGTGTACTAGCCGTAATTGTGTTTGAAATTTAAGTTGACATCTTATCCTTCATAAACAGCAGCTGGAAAATAATAATAATAATAATACACTCTCTATAGCGTACACCTCCATTTAATGGATACAGAGGTGTCCTTTATGTGGAGGTTATTTTATACAGTAAGGAATGTAATTGGTACACTAGGTGCTGTCCGTTAAATGGAGGTGTACGCTATAGAGAGTGTCCATTAAGAGAGACTATACTGTATATATTCTATCTTCATACACAGGTCCTCATTCCTCATAGTGTATCCAATGGATCAGTTACTAATCCTTCACTAGTGCAGTTTGGACACGGACTGTTCGGTGATAAAGTAATTAATAATAGTTAATAATAGTTATTAATAGTTATAAAGTTATTTTAATTGTGCTGGATAATCTATTCTAAGAACTGTTTGTTGACATTACTTGTGCAGTACATTTATGGATAATTTGTAATAACATAATAATTATATACTGGAGTATTATTATTTCATTGGTATCTGTATCATGTACATGTACAAATTGATACTACAGTATAACCTCCTCCTATTGTGGACACTCTAAAATAAGGACACCTCTATAATGAGGAGGGGTAGTATCAGTCCCAATACAATAGTAATGTGTATTAGTGAACCTCTCAAATAAGGACAGGTTCATAATCAGGAGCTAGGCTATTATTGGGTCCCAAGGTCTCCGGAATAGACAGGTATAACACGTACACATGAATACCTTTATCCTCCATACAATGTACTGTAGTATCCTCTTACTACACTAGGTTACAAGTATAGTCA